TCAAGGAAAGACAAAGTTGACCGAGTACAGTGGATATGGTGACCTGTTCAGGAAAAAGCCTTTCAAGAGTTGCGAGATCACCTGACAACACCTCGTATTCTTGGGTATGTTGACTACTCCAAGCCATTTGAGTTACACATTGATGCTAGCACACATGGACTGGGGGCTGTTTTATATCAGCATCATGATGAACATCTTGAAATAATTGCTTATGCCAGCTGAGGATTGAATAAGTCTGGACGCAACTACTCCGCCCACAAACTGGAGTTCTTATGTCTGAAATGGGCCATAACAGAGAAATGTCATGATTATTTGTACGGTCATGTGTTTTCTGTCCTTACGGATAACAACCCACTCACGTATGTCCTCACCAGTGCCAAGCTAGATGCAACAGGCCATAGATGGCTGGCTGCTTTATCTACTTACAACTTCAACATACAGTATCCTCCAGGAAAGTCAAATGTTGATGCAGAAGCACTGCACTGACTTCAACAGCCAGTGATAACATCATAACATCAGAATCTATCGATGCCATTTGTAACATGACAGCTGCACCCAGTTTAGTGAAAAGTATCTGTGTGTCATCAGCAGTAGTGGACGACTCAGGGTTAGCCACGACAGAGGATACCTGCGATTTGAATGCACGTGACTGGAGGAGAGCTCAGGCCAAAGATTCTGCCTTGAAAACAGTCATTTAACATCTCTGGAGTGGAACAAGACTAAAGCATCAAGCTTGCATTGGTGATACAGAATTGATCACCTTGAACAAGAGTTTTTCTAACTTCAAATTGTGTCAGGATACAGGATAACATCAGTGGATGGAGAAGATTGCAAGCAATTAGTGTTGCCAAAGAAATTTAGACAGTCTGCACTTCAGTGTCTTCATGATCAGATTGGCCATGCTGGACGAGACAGGACGTATTCCCTCATAAAAGAACGACTCTACTTGCCAGGAAAGACAAAGAACATCGATTATGTGCAGAACTGTGAAAGATGCCTTAGAAGAAAAACTTCAACAGCAGTGAGAGCTCCGTTAGTCAACATCAAAACTTCACAGCCTATGGAATTAGTATGCATGGATTTCTTGACCCTTGAACCATATAAAGGAGGAAAACAACACATCTTATTTGTAACAGATCACTTTACACAGTATGCACAGGCTTATCCTACCAGAATATGACAGCAAGAACAACAGCTGAAGTTTTCTTACAAAACTTTGGGGTGCAGTATGGTTTACCGAAACGAATCCATTCCGATCAAGGCGCAAATTTTGAAGGAAAGTTGATGACTGAACTCTGTCACCTCACTAACATGGAGAAGAGTCGGACAACACCATACCATCCAATGGGCAACGGTCTCTGTGAAAGATTTAATAGAACACTTCTAAATATGCTTGCAACACTTAACCCTGATGCGAAGAGAGACTGGAAATCTCATGTAGGCCCACTTGTACATGCGTATAACTCTACACGGCATGAATCAACAGGTTACTCTCCATATTTCCTGATGTATGGCAGGCATCTCAGACTACCAGTTGAGTTGGCATTTGGCCTTGATATCGACTGACTGACTGAGTTTTACGCCGCTTTTAGCAATATTTCAGCAACATCACGGCGGGGGACACCAGAAATGGGCTTCACACATTGTACCCATGTGGGGATTCAAACCCGGGTCTTCGGCGTGACGAGCCAACGCTTTAACCACTAGGCTACCCCACCGCCCCCCCTTGATATCGAACCAAGTACATCCAAGTCAAAGTCAAAGAGGTTTATTGTACAAACGCATCCGGCCCATATACATTGGAGTTATACATATACATTATACATATGGTGCAATAAGTAGTAATTAGTGATCCAAACAGCAAATCATGATACAGGCAGTAAATTATGTACAAGTAGTGAAATACGATGGACCTACAAAACTTTGTATCCGATTGCTACGTTTAATAAGAGCATAATTGATATAGTACGACAGCTTTATTATTACATGCTGGTCAGTTGATGAAACAAGTAGTTTAAATGCTAATAAGGTGTAGGTCAGCTATATATAGAGTCAAAAATACTTCACATTCTTTCTTCAGGGCACAGCAAGAGATGGTAAGATGGTTAAATTGTTATATATTGCTGAGTCTGTGTGATATACTCAAGACAAAGATAATCAGTTCCATTATACACTCTTTCTTACAGAATGTCACAAGAATAAAAAGAACAAGATATGGTATGGGATTGGTCCTCAACTGCCTGATGCTTGTTGGTTGGGGATTCTTCATTGCTTGAGATCTGTGTGAGGTTGTACGAAATCTGCCTCCCAAACGTGATGAGTCACTCTGGTCGCGGTAAGCAGCAGCGGCCGAGAGGTTTCCACGGATGACGAGTTCAGAGGTGAGCAGTCGGGAACGGTGTGTTTCCACGGAGAAAGCACGGTTGTTCCCACAGAAAGCACCCACACCATGCAACTTCAGCCCCCGAATTTGTCGACTTCCTGTACACAACATTGGGTATACCGTTCACGACGTAGTCTCCAGACTCTATGCCTGCCGTCCGCAAATCTGAGGGTAAACCTAGATTCATCGCTAAAGACGACTCGATTCCAATCTTTCTGGGTCCATCAGAGGTGACGTTGGGCCAACAGCAGACGTTGACGTTGATGAAACGGCGTCAATATTGGCCCACGATATGGACGTCGAGAATGGAAATTGGCAGCCCGCAACCGATTTCGAATGGTCTGTGAGGACAGTCGACCTCTAAACATCTCAGCCCTGGTTCGTGTAGCAGGCAGAAATCTGTCACGTAGGTGACGTAGGACGATTTGACGGTCTTCTGCTCGTGACGTCACACGTGGACGACCCGACCTTGGGCGATCAGAAGTGGTGCCAGTTTGTTGTAGACGACATCGTTAATCATACGCAGTACGACGGTTGCATCCCATTGCTCTTGCGACGTCAATAACTGATCTTCTCGCTTGCAACATGCCAACGGCACGTTCACGTTGCACATTTGACAATCGTGACATTTCAAGTACCGTTAGAACTGTGGTTTAAAAGTGTTTTTTCAATTCTTGAGGCCAATGCAAACACGTGCATATGAAGAAAACTTCGATGCGAAGATCACGTGATCGACTGCACGTGCAAAACCTGATTTGGCACTAACGTCATTTGCACGAGGAATGGATGGGTTTGACTGGGTTTTGCTAACGTTTTCTAGAGTCGAAAGATAGGGATCCCATTTCGGATACATAGATGTATCATCAGAGAAAAATTATTCATTAGTTTTCAAATTACATTTTGTGAAGTTCCATTTTTGACTCAGTATATTTCGTACGCAAATCTTTATACAAAGGACATACAAGTAAAAAAATGGATTTTATTTTCCACATCTACATTACACAGTGGGCACATTCTCTTAGTTGTTCAATATAAACATGTCTTCCTTCGTTTACCATTATGTTGATCAAACCTTACCTAAAACGTATAAATGGATATCTTAATATCTTTGATGTTAAAAACGACAGATATTTCTCCTGCTGGAGTAGTGATTTGTATATTCTATAAGAGTCGTACCGTGAACTATTATGTATTACTGAATGCCATTCTTGATTAAACATATTAAAACTTCTTTCTCGAAACTGAGTTAAAAACAAACTTGCATCACCAACTGACTGACTTAACCATACAAAACCATAACCATGTGCAAACAGAAGATTTCTTACATGAGATGCCCATGTCACTTTACCAATGTTGTCCAAATGAACAAGCATGTTATAAGCCTTTTTGGGTAATCTATGTTCTTGCATACACAATATCTTAAACCAGATTTTATACATCGAATATGAGCATTTATATACAGGGGATACCTCCCACATTCACCGTACACCATACAATTCGGTCTAGAGGGTCCTACATGTAAAAATTTCTTACAAGCCATCAGATGTATTTTTTCTATGCATTCATATCTCCGGAATCCCCAAATCTCGGATCCATACAAAAAATAGGCTGAATGTGACAATCAAATAGTTTAAAGTAAATACTGGGCGTCAACACACCAATTTTACACAAGGCAGATACAAGACCTATCAATGCTTTCTTAGCTTTCAATGATAATTCAGTAACAGATGTTTTCCAGTTCATAGCAGATGTAAACTTAATACCAAGATAAGTGTAATGATCAGAGACAATTACAGGTTGGTCATTTAAGGACCACCTTTCTTTAGAAGATATCCGACCACCTTTTCTAAATATAACAATATTAGTTTTATCTAGATTAACGGATAAATCCCATGTTTTAGTATACCGTTCCAAAATGTTTAACTGGGTTTGTAGTCCAACTACAGATTCTGATAAAAAAATTACGTCATCAGCAATTAAAGAATAAAAAGTTCTAAGAGATCTGGAAATACATTTGGATGCCATGCTTAGCATTTGCGATAATATCGTAGTACAATTCATTGATAAACAGGGAAAACAGAATTGGACTCACAACACATCCTTGTCTTAAGCCAACGGGGCAGTTGAAAAAATCAGTCTTATCATCACCACAACGTACACAAGCTATCACATTAATACACATTGCTTTTAAAATTGAATAAATTCAGCATTACTTAAAGAATATCACAATTTAGAACGACTGACAGAATCAAATGCTTTACGGAAATCAACGAAAGCTACATATAATTTACGCTTACGACGGGATAGACATTTCTGGGCTAGTGCAATTAGTGTAAAGATATGATCAGAAGTTGAATATTTCTTTCTAAAGCCTACTTGTGATTCGGGAATTTTATCATTTAGTGAGTCTGTTATTTAGAACAGATGTAAAGACTTTACCTAAAATACTCATAAGGGAAATTCCTCTATAATTATCTGGATTGGTGACATCACCTTTCTTATGTAAGGGAACAATAACTGATCGCGCCCAACAACGGGGGAAAATACCATTTTCAAACAATTTATTAAAACACTTATTCAAAAAGGGCATGATAACAAACTCTGAACTTTTAAGCATTCCCAACAAAATCATTATGAAATACATTTTTAAAATGATTTTTTAAAGTGTGTCAGTACACCAAAACTCTACGGGATAGACTTAAACAAGCCTATGATCTTGCTTCTAAAGCTGTGAACAAACCTCAAGCAAGACAGAAAGAGACGTATGACGTCAAAGCTACAGAAGCCATGCTGGAGACGGGAGATCGGGTTCTGGTGAAAATAGTAGCATTTGATGGCAAGCGATCGCTGATAAATGGGGAAAGGACGTCTATGTCGTTCTGAAACAACCAAACCCAGGGAAGACAAGGACACTCCATAGGAATTTGTTACTTCCTATCGGTTCTTTACCAATCCCAGATGCATCTGTACCAGTATTAAGATAAAAATCCAAGGTGTCAAGACCTCATTCTGGAGCATCTGACCAGAAATTCCCTGAGGAATTGCAAACCAAGGAGAGTTCAGATGATGATGTTGATGATGACATAATGTTACCTTTGACACGACCAGACCCTTCAAATTCAGTTGGTACACCAGCTGATGGGCCAGCTGAAGGTGAGGTTGAAGTGGATACAGATACCATTCTGGACGTAGATCAAGGTCAAGCAATGAACCACGAAGATCAAGGTCATGCAGAAGATCACGAAGATCAAGGTCATGCAGAAGATCACATAGATTAGGTTCAAGCAGACGATCGCATAGATCAAGATAACGAAGAAGCAGCCGACGTAGCTGACATTCCAGATCTTCCAGCAGTGGAACCTAATGTTCCCCCGCCTGATGCAGCCTGCGGGACATCGACTCCAGATAGACCTGTATCCGAACATCGTAGGAGAAGGATATTGCCGACCCCACCTCTCCGTAGGTCACAAAGAGCCAGGATAAAACCAGGTTGCCAAACAAGTGAAGACTACGTTATGGCAGTATCTGCAGTTAACAAGGAAGAATGGATCTCTCGGGCGGATTACCTTAGCTCTCCTATTGCTAAGGGGATATTTTCCAACAAAGCTTCAGATGCTCTAGTTGAATTGCCTGCAGAATAATTTACAATATATACCATATGTTCATGTTCACAACAATGTAAAGGAAGGTTTAATGTTACATATACAGCAAGCATTGTCTTCTAATTTTGCAGAATTTGTACAAGGAATGACTTAAATTTCATTGATAAGAACATGTATCAGTTATCACTCGCTTTCACTTAACTTGTAGCTTTGAGGGTACAATGTGTGAGCCTATTTCTGGTGTCCGCCACCGTGATATTGTTCGGCTTAAAACAAAACTCACTCACTCACTGTAGGTCTGATTACATGGAATATTGTTGTTTCTGCTAATGACGAGAGGTCTGTAGGTCCTTTCATATTTGTCACAATGACTTCAAGTACGCCTGCAGATATGTTTGTGCACAGGCCACGCCTTCCTCTGACATGCCCGGTCACAGTAGAACACAAGGTGACATCCCGTGCATTTCTTGCACTCTGATGATGTCCTGCCACAACTGTCACAAGAATGGGTGGAAGGCCTGGAGGCCTGGGATGTCATATCCTGGTCCCTGGAGGAGTCATGTTTTCCAAGACGGGTCTCGGCTATCGATGTAAATCTTTCTGAAACATCGTGAAAATATGAAAAAAAAAGTCTTTGTTCGTGGAATGGTTCAAGAAATGGTCCCAATAATTGATCTCACGTTCTGATCATGAGATTTGATTATATTAACTGCGCTGACAATGATGGACTCACTACACTGATTTGAACAATTCAGTGACAGTCATTCGTCTCACTGACATCTAATGATCTAAAACATTTAAAGCATTACATACGAACATACATAAAGTCAGGTTATAACAAACTATAACATTCAATGTGTCTGTGATGTGAGTATAACAATATTTACATTCGTTAAAACTCGTTTCTAAAACAACAAAACAATACTTTTACTCATGACATCCTCTTCTGTAATCCCCGACAGATGCATATTGTACGTCTCATAATCCATGTACGGGTATCTTGCTCTCAAGTATGTTCTCATCACCCATCTTTTGTCTGGTTCCTGACAGTAGTCTTGGGCTCTCCGGTAAGAGTTCAGTTCCAGAATTTGCATCAGAATTGAAAACCCCTGTGCGAAAATTTGCTGTATTAGGAATATATATTGTATCTAGCGATGGTCAATATTCTGCATTCGGAATATTCACAAACATATTATCACTTTGATAATTGTAATAATTTTAATAGATGAAGGTAGTTACCGGAGCCAAATATTTGGAAGACTGTGAATCCAATTCCATACACCCCCAGAGCAGGGGAAGGAAGGGTGAGCTTTCTTCTTGGCTGATTTTGTCTTTCGCTAGGAGCTGCGTCATTTTATCCAAATCTATGAAAGTCAAAAACAGCGTTGGTTTATTCTCATAAATCTTCAGATCCTCCAGATAGAATCTGCTGTTGACTCTGATAGACGGATCTGCTTGACTTGGAACTCTGATGGACACGATTGTTGGTACCTGTTGTTAAAAACGGAAAAACGTAACAGACCCACTCTGGAGTGACGTTTCAACAGGATAACAACACAAGACCACATGTTGCTCGAGTTGTACAGCAGTATCTTAACAGAGCAAGGTTTACGTGTTACACTGGTCCGCAAGATCCCCTTATTTGTCACCCATTAAACAAGCCTGGGAAGAAAAGGAGCGACACAAGGGAACGGCTAGTTTCATGAAGAGTTCTTGTTTTCCATCGTGCTACATACATATCATACATATGGCACACAAATCATAAGTTAAAATGCATTACACGTATTTTCAAAAGGGAACAATATTTCGTTGAATTTATGAGTATCATTGCTGATTCTCTGAACGGACTCGACATACATATTTTATATCGCAACTGCAAGAGATTCTTTCTAAAAGCTCACTGGCCCGGACCTCTACAACGAACTGAACGTCAATTTTATTATTGCTTCATTAATTATTGTCATTAGGTGATGGATTTAATAAAGAATCTAAAGATAATATATACCAATCATTCATTTCTTGAATGTTTACTTACGCCTAATGAAAATGGAACAGTTTTCATCAGGTATAATACTATGGACTGGAACTGTTTCAATGGTGTGGCAGTCTGCAAATCAGGAAGAGGTCCAAAGTGCATGCATCGAGCATAACAACTAATTGAGACCTCTCCAAACGGCGACCGTGGGAAGTCTGGAAGATTCAAAATGAAGCCTGCATCAAGTTTCTTCCAGGGTAAAAGTCGGTCTCCTTGAGTGAAACTGGGATCCTTTTCGAAGCGAGCTTCAATAGTTCCTCTCTTCCTGGATAGTTTGATGTTGCTGGACTTGATGTTGATACCGCATGCAAATCGAAGTGTCTTACTAAAGCCTGTACACCTGATAATGTGAAATGGAAACTAATAATATAATCATGTAAACCACGTGTCAGGTTTCAGTTTCTCTAGCCCGCAACGGCATTACATATTGACATTTAGAAAACAATTTGATTTTTGAACTAAATGTAAAATGTTGGAGACGCATCATCACCCGTTTCAGAAAAAAACATTACATTAACCTTTATCATTTAACATTGGCAGGTCACTACATCCAAATTAGTATTTTACTGATGAACCAAGTGATATCAAACAACTGATCTTACCCAATACGGCAGTTCTTCAGCCCCACAACATGTGGATCTCCCGCATCCATGTCAGTTGTGAAGATTCCATCTTTCAGGGATTCTGTATCAGTTTCAATCCTCACCTGGTAGTGATCGATGTTCTCGATTACAGTCTTCACCGGAGCGTGAAAAGAAGAAACTTAAACCATAATGGCAGTTTCCATCGCAACAGTGTCTCACGGCAATATCATGTCAAGACAATAATTATACATACAAGCGGCAAATCCCTTTCCACATCCATAAGAGATCTCTGCGAAGGCAGAGTCGATTGTACAGTTGTTTCTATATCATGAGCAGATATTTGTTTCAGCAGTATTCCAGCTGTATGATGTTATCACATTGTAGACGATAATTGCTTTCGCAAATACAGCATTGAAACAGAGGTAGAGAACGTTTGTATTACTGCAAATTATTAAATTCATCAATACTATTGACTGACTAGGTTCTTATAAATTAGTCACATTATATTTTACTTGTTTTATGATACAAATTAGATTTCAATGACGCCAAGTGAAAGAAAAGCAACAAACCCCTTTCCTCGTCCATAAGAAATCTCTGCAGAGAGCAGAGTCAATTGTACAATCGTTCTTAAATGACAAACAACTGGTCTTACCCATTACAAGTGTTCTCGTACACACGAGCTTCTTAAACACACACCAATTCCACCTTACTCAGAGAAACTGACTTTTTGAGCTATCTTAACATGCAATAGTAACAACCACTGGGAACATAGTGACAAAGTTTGACTTACAAACGTGTTTCCTGAAGAAATGTCTGAATCTGCAGGTGCTCTTTCTGAAATGCAGAAGTCCATTTTCATGAAAGAAAAAGTAGCAATGTATAATAATTGGCACTGTAACCTACCTCGAAATGTAGTCCCCAGTTGAATGTTGACACACATAGCCACTTCATAAATTTGCAGTGGCTGTATTGAAACTCAAATTCCAACCTACTGACACCAACCAAAACACTGAAGAGTCAGAATTATTTGCCAAGTACTTCGTGATGAGTGGCAGTTGACAATGTGAATATATGCATTTAAATATCAATAAGCAGCATGGTCAAGGTAGAAAAGATTACAAAGTCTCAACTTGAAATATGGAAAAATTGTGTCCACATATTTCATGTATATAAACAAGTGATTTCTTCAGGTGCATGGGCAATAGATATAATATATAATATAGAGTCCAGATATTCGTGCTTGTCAAACCTCCTTTATGAAAAAAGGATCTTTTGCCGCTGAGCACACGCTTGGCTGCCATCCTTGGTGGGAACACGTATGTGACGTATATACCTCGGTTATAAAGAACTAACATTAGTCGTCCCAAGTCCCTTACAGCCGTAGTGACCCGTGAAAATCCGGGTTAGAGTTGGTCTTCTGTAACCCATGCTTGTCGTAAGAGGCGATTTACGGGATCGGGTGGTCAGGCATGCTGACTTAGTTGACACATGTCATCGTATCCCAATTGCGTAGATCGATGCTCATGCTGTTGATCACAGGATTGTCTGTTCCAAACTCGATTATTTACGGACCGCTGTCATTTAGCTGGAATATTGATGAGTACGGCGTAAAACTAAACTACAGCTGTAGTTTACTGGATGTCTAACGTTTCATCAATTATAGACTCGTTCAACTGTACAACATGATATCCAGCTATAGAAATGTTGCAATACACACCGGTGGTGATCTTCCTGAGTCTGTGCATCAACCTCTCCTTTGATATACTGTCTATTTTAGTTGTGCTGTAGCCACAAGTATCGCGGACGTCCAGCACTTCAATTCTATTTTGGAGTTGAGCAAGACATTTGGACAGGGCATCCCCTCCTGGAACATGACCATAAAGTGAGGTATTAGTCTTTGACGGATCTGTAAAATGATTGATCGCAATCTGTTACTTCGGAAATTCAGCTGATACAAGCATCACACGTATGGATAACATACTTAACTATCCTGTTAATCGTCTCTTACGATAAATAGAAGACACTAAACGAACTTCCGTGTGATGCCACTTTTTATTAAACGAGTTAATGATTTGATATCAGACGAGTGAAAGCTTTGTATTCTGTTTATTACTCCCCAGCATAACATTTAATATAAACTGTCTATAGTTGGCTTACTCTCAGTCATACTGTAAAACATTATGAGGTCATGTCTAGCGGTATTACACTAGTGTAATATTACCGTGAAAATATTGCACTGCAGTATCTTCCACGGGTGAGTAATACACATTGTGTGCCGAGGATCAAATTCTGACAGGGATGTTTACGGCGAGATATACACATGGTCTATCTAGATTTGCAGAGACTGCTTTAATGGTCAGAGTAAATTTAATGGTGATAAGAAGCTGAATTAGAATCGTTGCATTGACAATTGAATTAGTTGAGGGTAGAGAACATAACACATTCACATTTTTGACATGCCACTTCCAACAAGTTATGGCCATGACTAAATGACAATTGCTTCCACACTGTTAGTCAAGTTGGTGTCTGAGCAGGTTTAAAAAATGTAAAAGTGTACTATGGATTACATCTGTTACAGCCTAAAAGAAACACGTAACGTGTCTTTCGGACAGATCTTTGCATAACAACATTATGTACATTTTGGGTATCTCTTCATGGTTTCAATATTAACAATCTACGTACAACTTCTTTGAGTGGCATTGTTATTGGATCAGATAAGGACAAACTTTCTGGATGAACAACCACTCTATTTTTATTGATAAAAAAAAGTTTGTCGATGTTCTTATCTGAATCTACGTAAAAGCTAACATGAAAGTGTACTTGAATGATTCTGTCTGCAAAGTGATCTTAGATGTAAGAAAGACGAGTTCCACATAACAGTATCGAAGTATTCGATGGTACTTTTGTGTAGGATGTATAGTATTAAAAAAGAAACGCATAACCTAGTAATCTGTTGCGAAAATGTTGTATTTTCAAACATGTATAACTCGTCCACAAATAACATTTAGTACATGAATTTTTACATCAGTTTATAAGAAAATAATGTCTATACAACCAGGTGGATAATGTTAGATAACGCGACCGCGATTGTGACGATGTAGCATGGTCCCGACGTCGGATTTTATGGCTCTCAGTCCAATCTCTCTTAACCTGTTCCGTACAGTTTGACCGGATATCCTCCGGTGCAGGTACCCTGGCTGCTGTGCACTCATCCGTGGCAGTACGATCACGCAAATGCAGTACCCGGATGTACCGATCTTGGGCTGCAGTGGTGACTCGAGGATTGCCTGAACGGGAACAGTCAATTGTTTTACCTGTTTGGTTGTAACGAGCTGCAAGCCGTGATATCGTGCTCAGACTAGCATTCAGACGCCTGGTAACAGAAGATTGGTAATCTCCAGCGTGCATTCTTTCAATGGCGATGTTCCATGTCGCAGCGTCAAGGCGTGGCGTAGATAGATAGATTGATAATCTTTATTTCCACCGGAGTCGAAGGTACGGCAGGTTGTAACATAGGTTATACATATGTATTTACAGGTTACAGAGTGTGATATTCAAAAATTGGATAGGTATTTTAGTTGACGTAGCCAGGGTTTTACAGAGTTTGCGATTAGTGTTATTAATATAAACCACATTTCTTGTTTAAGCTCTTGAGCATATACATTTGGTAGACCACCGAGCATATATGAGACAAATAGGTCTTCATCATTCCATAAACTGACAATAGTGTCAACATCTAGCATTTCAACTAGTGACTCAGTCAAAGCGTCTCTACTACTTTGTATGAGAGTACAGTGTAGCAATACATGTTTTACAATATCATAGGCAACTGTGCCACATTCACACTCAAGAGACTGAATGCTCAGTGTGCTGATACGTAAAAGAGCAGCAATATTATTGAAACATTCTGGCATTATGTAACAGAGGCAACATATGAGTCCATTGCTTTAGGTATTCTTTCTTTAACCGGTATATCTAGGTCATACATTGTTACAGGATTAAGCATGTGGAAGATTGGCGATGACTTGCTATATCGCTCTTTATCAGTGATGAAGTCTGTCTGTACTGACAGAGTCTATGCACAAGCACTTTCTTAAAGACAAATTCAGTATCGCTGTTACATAGTTTACCGAGAAATACCAAGGACTTCTGGTGCATATATCTTCTTAGTGTGACCAGGCTGTCTCTGGCTATTGTGAATAATCCACGTTGAAAGGCCTTGGATACTCTTACAAAACTGGTTTTGTACAGTTTCCAGCATATCATATTCCTTTTCAGGTAAACGCGCCTATACAGTACAAACCTTCTACAGATCTTTGCTTCTCCCAAATGTGAAATTGGTTCTAATTTTATTTGACAATATAGGTTACACAGGAATCAAACATTTAACAATTTAGGTTGCACAGAAAACAAACATTTAACAATGTAGCTTGCACATAAATCAAACATTTAAAAATATTGGTTGCACATAAATCAAACATTTAACATTATAGCTAAAACGGATAAAATTATCATTCAAACGCCCGCACGTTGTCAGAAATGAGCGGGCAACCAGAAATACATTTTTAAGTATGCAAGTAAGCAACACCCTCTTACCATCTGCAGACAATGTCAATATCTCCTGTTCCCTAGCTGCCTTCCATCTTAAGGCTAACTTTGTTACTCCAACAAATGATCCGGCTTCAAGGATATTCCTGAAATCAGTAACAAAAGGTCATACAATAAGCAGAATTTAAATCGATTTATGCTCGCTGTATGTTAATATATCATTCAAGAAATAATCAGTCTTGATGCAAAGAATTGCTGGTACAAAATGCATAACGGACATAAAGTATATGTTGGATAAAGTATAATAGCCTTGTACTTACTCGTGACCGAGCGTGAGCTCTTCAGCAAGATGGAGACCAAAGAAAGTTGGATACATCAACTGAGGAATATCCAAACACTGGCGCAGAAACGATTCTAACAAGGAAGCTGTGCCTTTGTCCCAATGAAAGGTCTCTGTCCTCAGAACCCCATTCGGCCTAAAAGAGAGGCTCTGAACTTTACAAATACATACCATTTGCAACACAAAGTGCAGCAGTTACATTTTTCATGCGGCATAAGTTATAAAGCAAGAACACAAAATCCCCCCAACGCTGCTTACTTTTGGAGTCTCTCTTGGCAACGGATCAGTAACGGAATCAGGCCAACTCTATCCGCAATGTTCGATGTGTCGATGAAGTCAAATAGGAGATTGTTTGGGAGGTCTGCTTCACAAACCTCTATTGCATCCCCCAGCCACAGATAGAACTGAAATTATGCGTTGTAATATACTCAGCAACGTCAGTATGAATTCAAAATTAGATAGGCACTGTAATCAAATCATTACAGAAATGGACATAATAAGCGGATCAAAAACATTTTTGTGCACAATATCTTAACACATCCATGAGTAACTCAGCACAATTTCAAGACATTACGTGAACATTTGCAGTCCATTCAGACTCTTGACTTCAGTATCTAGTGTGATCACCACGAGCGGCAATAACTGCAGCACAGCATCTATGCATGGAGTGCACCAATCGATTGATGAAGGCCATTGGCACCTGGAACCACACTGTGAGAAAGGCCTGGCGCAAAAAATCGGCCTTGGTATGACAGTATTCAGTCTCCTCTGAATTTCATCCCAAAGATGTTCAGTTGGGTTTAAATCAGAAATCAGGGCTGGCCACCGTTCTGCTGTAGGAAGTCCCATGTAGCTCTGGCAGTATGGGCCCGGGCGTTATCATGCTGGAAAATTTGGTTCTGGTAACGTGCTAAATGTGGTGTGACGTGGGGTCTGAGAGTTTGGTCGATGTTTGGTCGTTTGGCCGCCTCCGCTCCCGGACCAAGGTTCGGGAACACCACAGGACCCACTCTCTAGTTCAAGCCTATTCCACCCCATACCATGATGCTTGCACTTCCCCATGAATCTTTTTCATGACACATTGGTCCGAGTAACGCTGGCCACGTCGTCGCCATATTCTTGTTCTGCCATCTGCAGTTGATACTCAGTACCAATTATCATCTGTGAACAGAACAGTTCTCCATTGCCTGTATCGCCTGTATTTTGGTGTTATTGGGCAAACTGTAGACGTTCATGCCGATGACGAGGGGTGACGATAGATCAACGGTAAGGTGTACGGCAATGGAGGTTCCCGCTGTTAAGACGTCGGCGTACTGTATCAGTACTGATTGGTCTTCCGTGTGTTCCCACTGTCTCGCGTGCTGTTTCGGATGCCTGTATGAAGGGGATTCTGTACATGCTGTAGCACAACATGGCGGTCTTGTCGTCTTGTGGTAACCCTTGGTCTACCAATACGGGGGCGATCATTTGTGGTGTTGGTGGCCCGGAAACGTTGCTGCAGCCTGTAGATGGTCCGAACGTTGACCTGGAAGTGATTGGCAACGGCATGTGCAGTGAGGCCAGCTTCAAATCTTCCTAGCGCCTAGTTCCTCTGAGCTGTCGTGAGTCGCGGCATCCTGCTGACGTTGTAATGTGAATGCTTCAACCAGGTTTGGGGTGCATTTTGTAGGGCTGGTCCTTGTGAAAACTGCGTTTTTGAGCATTTCCTGGGTTCAATTCGGAGTTTAGGAAGGAATGTCTTTGCTCAGGTAAAGTTTGAGATGTTGTCAAAAAATATACAATCAAAACATTAAATGAGTTTACAGTTATCCGTTTCTGCGAAGGAAAATTCCAACTGACGTTTCTTTTGCAGTTTAGTATATTACATATGTACAGTCGTTCGTACACTACTGAAGATAAAGTGATCTTGATATATGAAAAATCGGTACCTTACTATTGAAACAAAGCAATGTACTATTAAGCCAATGAATGAGCAGTCAATCAATGTACATGTTGTTTAGTTGACCTGTTTATAGTTATATCTTCTTTGCTAATTCCCCATTCTTTCTCTGAGTATACATGTTGCGATTTGTGTAAGCATTTTGATTCAAACGTACACTATAATATGAAACTCAGTAACTACTTTCATCTTGTTTTCTCCCCATACTATACGTACCCTGGCAGTACATCCAGACTTAATTGTAGCTTGGTAGCTCTTCACCCATTTCCTCAATATTTCAAGAAATAAAGAGCACATTGTGGTATCTCCACCATTGTATCTTGAAAAAAAGGGTTCATGTTCATGCAAGGGCATGCTAGTATAGATGACTCTGACTCGTCAATACATTTGCAAAAAACATCATGTACACATGAGCAAAATTAAGCACTATCATTATAATAAGGACATTTTTAAAATTCTGTTCCACACAGGCGATAATACACCAGCTTACTGAAAGCACATGCTTCCCACAATATCTCTAAAGCTATGGGAAGACCTAAGAACAGTGACAGTGATGACGGAGTCCTAATTCGTCTGGCAAGACACAATTAGATGATGAAGAACTACTATCAGAAGGAGCCTGCGGGCTGCGGGCTGCTGGACTGACAGGCTAGGACGTGAAGCGTGACTCTTAGAAAACCGAAACTATATGAAAGTTAGTATTTGTACGTTTCCGACAGCCGTTGTTGCGTAGACGCCATTGCCCATTCGCACTGACCCAAGTTCAAGCTAGAGGTCCTCCTGTTCAACATTTGCAGGAATTAAAGCAGACACTCTACGTGGAATGGTACAGGGTTCCGATGATGAAAATTCGACACTTGATTGTACGTATGAGGGGCAGTTGTTACCTGTGCGATTGGTGGCTACACAAAGTTCTGATGTGGTTCATGCACTCAAAACAATTATAAATTGAGAACTGTTTGACAATTAGATTGGTGAACATATTTTCTGAAATACACAATGCCATTTTAGAAAGTGGTCAAATATAACATGGCTTTCGCGTTTGTATACATTCCTCAAGCACTGCAAATACCAAATTTCAATTTCAATTTTGTAGTTGTTTTTGTGACAGTAACCATTTTAATACGCAGAATTTGGTTTTCAAAGCATCCACATGTAGTGCTTTCGTATGTCTCAGATAAAAAAAAGACTAACGGGATCGGGTGGTCAGGCTCGATGACTTCGTTGACACATGTCATAGGTTCCCAATTGTGCATATCGATTCTCATGCTGTTCATCACTGGATTGTCTGGTCCAGACTCGATTATTTACAGACCACCGCCATATAGCTGGAATATTGCTGAGTGCGGCGTTAAACTAAACTCACTCACTCACTCCCAATAAAAAAGTGAGTAGTGCCTGATTAATGCATATCTATAAAATCACAGATCCTACCTGTCCAGCTGTAGTTCCACGTCATAGCACATAAAAGGACAGCTGTTGTCCTCTACTTTCCAATCATCACATCCTGGTCTGAAAAAAGTTACGTTGCCATGGAATATATCCAGCATTCTTTCAGAGGTCATTGCTGTTGAATTAGCCCTCGACACGCCACTTGTGATATATTCACGAACTTCTTGTTGGTATCTGAAAATAATTGTGAAAAGTTTGTAATTGCAGGTCACCGAAATATTCTTTGGACGTTATCTACAGCACGGGAACACTTTTGACCCGCAACAGGGAAGGCAGTCCACGTGTGACGTAACGGCAACAAAGCAACCATATCTGTTTGGCGCATCATAAGCTCTGGTTTGAGACCAAATAGGCACAGAACTGTATGCAACCGGTTGTGTGGGCACCCAGCTTCAACATTTAGCGGTCCGAGCAACTATATTCCATGTCTCTGTCAGTCTGTAGTAGATAGCATCTGAGGTTCAGAAGACAATACTGAAATACTATACAGATGAGTACAGATTTCATTTGAATCAACTCTGATTGTCCCGCAAAGGTCTACAGGCAGCCATGAGGGTGAGTTAGTGAAGTTAGCGTTGCTCAAAACCATCATGAATGGCTTGGTGTGACGTCAAAGGCATGGGAGAAGAGAACTCTTGTTCGCTAATGGCAACAACACTTAGTATGAAGCTACATTTTTCTGCTTAACAAAATATGACAAGGGCATCCTCAGTTGTGGCGTCTCCAGCTCCTGCTGTCTTGGATACAGTAGTGGAGAAATTCCGACACCATGGTCTTAACAGTTTATTAGTTGACACACAAGGACATGGGTATGGGATGACGAATTAAGCTCTTAATTAAGAAGTATAATAATTATTGTCATCATCCTTTTCTTAGACCTCTCCAAAAGTGGTGATGACTGATGATTTTGAAACGTAATACCTGTCTTTCAAACGTTCTGTGTAATCCAATCGGTTGCTTTGGGCGACGAGCCTTGAGGAAACTCTCTGCACTGATCTTTCAGGAAAGTGTTCATCGTACATCGCTGTAAGAAAATTGGTTCGTTTATAGATTGTCTGTCTACCTGAAATTTCAAATTTCAACCATGACTGGAGGGCTTGTTTTATTTTCAGTTCTGTCTTTCCATTTCCAAAATATATACCATTTGTGCCTGATTTGAGATCTGATAATTCTTCCATCACCTCTTTCAGTTTTTGTAGGTGTGCCTTTGATAGTAACACGTCGTACCAAACTGCCCATAGAGTCTTCAGTTCGTCAGTATCTGATGGATTAATGGTTCTAACAAGGAAGAGTAAGACCAAATCCCGCGCCAAGATGCCGTCTTCGATGTCATTGATGTGAAAGTTTATTGCCTGGTTCTTTGCCTTTGTCGTGCCATCTTCGTGTAGTACGTGCATGGTGTGAAGGACGTGTCGGATGTCGCCACATCCAAGCAGCAAAATGTTACACTCCTCGGCAACCTGACATCCATGGGTGACATCCACAGATCTCGTGTTTCCAATTGGATAATACTCGCACATGTCATCTTTAAGATATTTGAAGATACCTGAAGTTCCGAAAATAGAAAAAAATAGAATATTACGGTAATGCATATGCCTTAGATGAGAAAACTTCTCCATGAATATTGCAGCCTGTTTCTCCAAATATATTTACTCTGCATACAAACACCTGACAACTTTTGTATTCTTGTACTCTGCTGACGATGCAGCTGTCTGATATCTGACATTCAGAAACCAGTTATAGAACAGAAATTATCAGTCCTAAATGGTGTCAGGAATGATTTTTGCTTATAAATGTACCCGAAACAAAGAAAATGATGATTGACTTCGGGAAACGTACATAACCAATCCCTGCTAAGAAAATAACGAATAAAGGTGTAGAGGTCTTCTTTCTTTACATACACCTTGGCATTCTCTGTTCAAAATTTACATTGCCAATCATGATGAAAGTAATTGGGTTTTTCCGATCTATTTTAGATTATTAATAAGTAACTGGCATATACGTGACCGTATAGGTGTTATTGCCGTGCATGGTGTTATTGCTGTATATGGTGTTCTTGTCGTACATGGTGTTATTGCTGTACACGGTATTATTGCTGTACATGGTGTTATTGCTGTACAAGGTGTTATTGCCGTACATGGTGTTATTGCCGTACATGGTGTTATTGCATATGCGGTGTTATTGCTGCAAATGGTATTATTGCTGTATATGGTGTTATTGGTGTACAAGGTGTTATTGCAGGACATGGTGCTATTGCTGTACATGGTGTTATTGCTGTACTTGGTGTTATTGTCGGACATTATGTTATTGCCGGACATGGTGTAATTGCCGTACATTGTGTTTATTGTTGTACATGGTGTCATTGCCGTACATGGTGTTATTGCCGGACATTGTGTTATTGCCGTACATGGTGTTATTGCTGTACATGGTGTTATTGCCTTACAAAGTATTATTGCCGTAAATGGGGTTATTGTCGTACATGTGTTATTGCTGTACATGGTGTTTTTGCCGTACATGGTGTTATTGCCTTACATGGTGTTATTGCTGTACATGGTGTTATTGCTGTACATGGTGTTATTGCCGTACATGGTGTTATTGCTGTACATGGTGTTATTGTTGTACATGGTGTTATTGCCTTACAAAGTATTATTGCCGTAGATGGGGTTATTGTCGTACATGGTGTTATTGCCGTACATTGTGTTATTGCCGAACATGGTGTAATTGCTGTACATGGCGTTATTGCCGTTCATGGTTTGAAAACAAATAAAACCATTCACTGTACAAGTATGAACTGATTCGTCAGCATACAAGGTCGCGGTGACCCAACTGAAACCAGCATACACTGTTTCTGGCTACTTCGACAAGAATTATTGTAAATCTACACCTATAAACGTTTCACAGTTTTTTGTCTACAAGGCAGATAAAAAACGTATATGTATGTGCTCAACAGAAAGAGAGATCTTACCACGTCGAGCCATCTTGTAGCTTGAGGTGGCTTTACACGTAGCATACAACACGACATACAAGGAAACGTATCGCGCTTCTAGGAAATGAGGATATGAATTGTGAGGTATGGCTGAGTAAAGGGAGGCGACCCGTGTCTTAACAACAGAGCTGTCAACCAAACATTCATGTCCTAGTGTGAGCCTGTTCAATAAAGCATTTGATATCAGTATTGACACATTCGTGTGGGGTGTGCTACACATACTAGTAACCCGTAACAATTTCAAGTTTGAAATCCATATGACACGACGCACAATTCAGCAGCCATGGTTAGAAGGCTTAACGCTGTTTCTGCAGCTGCACGAATTGTTCTGCTTGTCCGACTGAACATGGGCATTATAAGATATTTGCGAGCATTTTCTGCCAGCCGTCGATCTCAGATAATTGTGGTTAAAGCGTCATCTCGTTACACCGAAGACCGGGTTTGAATCCCTCATGAGTACACTGCGTGAAATCTGTGTCTGGTGTCCCCAGTAGCATATAAGTAATCAGTTCCGGACATCAAAGCATTCCTAAGGAGAACAATAGCATTCCAGGGGAGAACAATAACATTTTTTAAGGAGTACTCCTACATACCAAATGAGTTTTCAGGAGCACATTCCATAAATTCCAGGAGCTGTCCTTTGAACCCTTAACCCTATTGTATACAATGATAGCCTACATTATGGTTCTATACCAGCCGGTAAAGAGTTATAAGTGGCGTCTTTATTTAACATCATGACTCACGGAGATGGGAATGTGTATTGAAATTTTATGAATAGGAAACAAGCAGTTTGATATATTGAAATCATTGCTATTAAAGTTGAAATGGGTGGAATGTTGCTTATGTCTATAAATTCATAGCTGATTCTAACCGCTTTCAATAAGTGCTTGGTACCATAAGTAATATGTTCATTAAGTAGCACATCTTATTTGTTAACACTTGTAAGCTAGTCTGTCGTACAGACCCTGAAGCAAATATATCCAAGAAAGCCCACGCAAGTCATAGAAAATGTGGCAAGTCTAGATTTCCACAGCTTCAGAAAATGAGGAAAGTCTCAGGGCTCCTTTTCATTATATTATATTCTTTTTTTACTATGAACCTTTTTCGGTAAAATATGTTCATTTCAGAGACTAGTTGTTAGTCTAACTTGTAAGCATGCATCACTTCTTACGTAATATTCCATCAGAATTCCAACCTAGAAATGCAGCAGTCTATTTCCTTTTATATGTAATATCAATGTTCAAACCTTGTACATATAGCTTCTTTGGAAATAACATATTGTTTAAATCAAATGGTTTGAAAAGAAGTACAAACATATGTAAATATGAATGGAAGGTTTAGCCTGGTGAGTCACGCAGACTGGAATGTCAGTTACTGAAATTGAAAATATTCACCCAAACGCAACCGTCCACGTTAAAGTGGGACGAAACTAACGCATCTCGCCTCAAAGTTGTGTTTTGGCGCTACACTCCAGCGGATCGCAATTTTTTTCAATCTAAGATATACTACTCATCAAAAGTTTAAACTCACTAGCGAAAATTAAGTAAAAATAAAGGTTAATGGTACCCCCGGCACTGTCATTTCCGTAATTCTGCAACAATGCTACTCTACGATTTGAAGTGAACTTTTTTTGGTTAAAGTAAACAAAAAGGCATTTTGTTGGTTATCTCCCAATTGACAGACACCCAATTGACAGACACCCAATTGACAGACACTGAACTAGAAGGTTAATTAGGGTAACACCTACGGATATAATGGAACAGTCCACTGTCTAGTGAGTAGAAGGGTGAGCCTGAAACAAGTTCGTTACTGAGACGTTTGATTGTGTGTAAATATATATTTGTTGTGATTAAATAATAAATGATTTCTCTTACTATCGAATATAAAAAACAGGTTTGTCACTGAGAGGTTTGATTGTGTTTATTGATAGAAAAGACCCCTCCCAATAATAGCATATGTACAACAGAAGTTAACTGAGAAAACGTTTTGTTGGAGAGATATAGATATGTACATATTTGAAAACATTCTGATTTGCAGTAAATGATACACCTGCCTTGCCATGTAAGATGCGATTAATACCAATCAGTGTTCTAATTTTAACAATACTTTCTAAAGATTGTAACAGTTTGTGTCTTTGGGTAGTATACAATAGACACCCATGACCACATTCACATGATGCGTCATATTTTAAATATTTATTCTAATCGTAATTAAGTGCACTCGTCATATATCTTAATATTGTGTGCAAAACATTTAACTTCTTTATTCCATATGAATAATATTTAGGTTCACATTTGTCTTTATTTGATTTATATGATACAACAGTGTCGCAATTTCTAATAGCCCAGCTAATGTTTTCAATATGATGATGCCGACTCCCGTTAGACTAGAAGGTTAAACCGAAATGTTTATGAATATATACTGTTATTTGGACTATTCCATTATAATGTGTAGATAACAGGTAGTAGATAATCTGTAAACTGAACCGTAAATGTTGTTGTTCTAAGGTGTCTGCGAACTGGCTGTCTGCGTAATGGGAGGACACCATTTTGTTTATTTGTTGTGTAAACTTATGACAGTGATTTTTCGATTTTTCCGTCTTGTTTTAAGTACCTGTGATCATTTCTAATCCTAATCAGTAAATAACGGGAAATTTCAATACTTATCTCGTGAATTTAGCATGCCTTTATTAATTTACTTAATTTTCACTAGTGAGTCTAAACTTTTGATGGATAGTACATGTGCAAACAAGCCACCCTCTATTGTAGGTTACAGTTGACTTACCTTGATATTTTCCTCAAAAACACATCACCACGGTACTCCACCCATACCAACACAATACGTAATCGCGATGACGCACGTCACGTTTTGCACTCACATCAAGTCTTTGTAGAACACTTAATGTTGAATTATTGCAATAACAACAAATTTCTCCCTCGCGACTTTGGAGGGTGTGAAAAAACTTTGGGGTGTGGAAATATCTCACATCTTCACACACCGATCACGACTTTCAATGTATTTTGAAAAAATGTCACGAAACGGAGGGATTTAAACCTTTTGTCTTGTATATAAAACACTTATCTTAGCATAGCATCATGAATACTTTAAGGATTACAAGTGGTGGATTGTCGTTCCTGCTTCACGTCACAAAGTTTTGTGCACATGAATAGTTCCGTGTGAAAATGACATCTTTTCTGATTGTCCCAACAATTAGTGGCTTTGATTACTTACTTGTGAACTCTAACTTAACAATTTCATTTTTGTGATCAGATTAAATCTCGCCTGAAAAACATTTTCATCTATGTTTTAGATGAATTGAAATTGTACGAAAACAGTAATTTTCAGTAATGCGGCCTTCTCTTTTTAAGAGAATTTCAAACACAATTTGTTTTAGACCGACAAACTCAGCTTGCGGAAATTACTTTGGGAAATGTTAGTATTGTAATTTCAAAATTTGAAATTCAAAGTGCGCTGACAACTATTACTAAACACGACGCCGAAGTTGAGGTTCTCCGGATTCAACAAAACTATTAAAGGTACGTTCATTTTAAACTTTTTCATCATTTATGTATAAATGGTATCTTGCAATGAGTTCAGCAGGTTTCATGTTATTCTCATATGAATTATCTACATGTATCGTATATCAGCATGATACAATTATGTATGTGCCGTAATGTTTGTAGGTTGTCAGTTATAACTGACCCGTTCACTCGTTATGAGCATACAGGTTACGCTAGGATCAAATCGCTTCATTGTATGGTTGACTACCTGTCACACTATATTTCACTGTAAAAGTTGAAACCTCATCGTGCAGTCCTTAAAAGCTCTACAGCTGTTTATTTTCATTTGAAAATATAGTTGTATAGTATGATTTGTTATAATGATCAATTTGTGTAACAACTGAAATTTGATTGTAAGAAGTTCTGTTTAATGTTGTTATATTCGTAGTAATGAAAACTTTGTGTGACATTTTGAACCGGTTTCTTTGAAGTTAAAATCCCCTCGCACACGCACGTGTTTCAAGTGACAATGATTTGTGTACGTGCGTTCTCTCTTAACGCGCTTTTTGACTTTGATATTGACCAACATTTCAGGTATTTGATCTTTGATCTCTGCTCAGGGTTGCATGTGTTTCACGCGACAATGTTTTTGTGTACGTGCACTCGCTCTTATTGGATGATATTAAAATTGTCACTCAAACCGGTTAGCTTTATAAACACTGAAGAGAGAGAAAATAATTACAGCTCGCAATTATGTTGACAATCACAGTATTGTTTACTGTTTTGTTGGTTGCAAAAAGCGACCTGCCATTTGCAAATAAATGTAGACAGAGATCGCGCGCTCTGATATGCCTCCATGTCAAGGCACAGACATTATCACATCTAATTGGAGCAGTGTATCCGAGGGTCATAATTATAATATTGCATGGACCTTCGGATGACTTAAGGATAAACTTGGATTTGTTTCCTCAACTGGAGGTAAGTTTATTGATTGTGAGTTTATTTTTAGACAGTATGTTTTCATTTCGCGTGGATTAGGTATCGTATGCTTCCGTACATTCACCAGGAGATTCGAACTTACACCCTCGCTGTTACCAATCTAGCTCTTTACACAACTGAGTTAAACGCGTAACTGGTTGAGAAATGTAATTTATTGAGTCTGGTTTGTAAGAATAGTTTTATGCAAAACCGATCTTCAGTACGTGTATCGCGAAATAAACTTAAAGCATGTGTTATGAATTTAGTGTTTACCTATAATTAACAGTGTTATTTGCGATGTGCAAATGTGTTTTTCAGATCGTGAGAATGTAATTAAAGTGTGAGCAACTTTGCTTTTCCCACACAAACCTATTCTTTGACACCATATTTTCTTAATCTAAGTTTTAGCCAGTCGTCACGAGTCTTCACCCCACTTTTCAAAAATGCAAACAAAGGCTTGTTTGTCCACACCCGAATGAACTTATTAACTGTAGAGTTCGTACAATGACATGTTACGATTTTTTGTATTTTTTTATAACGTAGAAAAAAACCCACCTTTACAGTCAAAATGTGTTAGCAATAAATTCAATATTACATAAC